TTTGACAATAAATGTCGTGTAGAAAAAAGCATTTGTTGCACCTGCTGCTAAAAACGCTTACTTACCTGGTACTGCGTGTAGAGCCATTAGCTGAATGAAAGGGGTTAAAATCCAAAAGGTAATCTCCCTCAAAATCCACGGATAACGAGCCATGGGTTTTCGTTTGAGTAGCTATTTTTCGGTATATACATAAATGTGTAGATGGTTCTACGGGTTCTCTTACAGGTATAGCACGAGGCTGGCGAATTTATTTTCAACAGAATATATGTTGGGGCATTCACTCGGATATGGATGTATGTATGAGTGCGCATATGACGTTTGCATTTGTGAGAGATGTGTACACAGTAAAGTCGATTTGAACGGGTGTTCACAGACAGACAGACAAACGGATAGATAGATATGCAGATAGGTATATATGCAGATAAGATAGACTGACGTAATTTAAATTTAGGAAAATATATTTCATATACGTTTAAAGATTTTGGTTAATATTGTGTTGCGTTATACTTTCACTGTACAACAATAAATTGTGCTCTTTAGATTTTTGCTTATTTAAAAAATCAAAATTATTGAAACAATAACAATGAGTAAAGAAATTAAAATTGTTAAATTTAAAGAAAAATCAGATTGTAAATATTCTAAACTGCAATTATTAAGAATAAGGAAATTATTTTTTTTGTTCAGTTTGAAGTCTTTTGTATTTAAAAAAAAGATTTTACATCGTTTTTTTTTTTTTTAAACGTTGAAGAAAGATTGTAGGTTTAACATGGAGATATAGATTACGTATATTTGTTTTGAGATAATCTGGTTTTCAAATTTCTATACTATGGACGAATTCGCTAAATAAACGTGTGTATAAAAAATCGACGCTGAGACAGAGAGTGTGATTATAAGAGGGAGACAGAAACAGAACCACAAAGTGAATGTAAAGAGAGAAGGTCGGGATGAGGCTTGCGTTAGTGTGTCGTTGTTGTTATTACTATTATTATTGTGTGTGTACTTCGAGGGTCGTGTGTAGTATTTGTAATTGCGTGCGTGTTTTTTTCTCATTTTTTTTCCCCGGTGGTCAGGCTATACTTTTCAGTTTGTCGATTCTTCTCTTTTTTTTTCTTTTTTTTTTTTGTTTTCTTTACGTTATCCGTTTTATAATAAGCAAATCAATGTTGAATTGTGTAAGGTAGCAAGCAAGAAAAGACAGAAGAAAGTGTAATCGGCAGTCGAAACTGGTCGTATAAAGTAAATTTAAAACAAGATGGAATAATAATAATAATAAAATACAAATGACATTGACAACGTTGATCTAATAGATGAATACCCGCGTCCACGGTCTTTTTTTTTTTAATTTTCCTTTATTTATTTTCTTTTATGGTTTCCTAGCGTGGTACATGTTGTATGGGTGAATGTAGGTATGTATTCTGTGTTGCAAAGGTAATAATAATAATAATATTAATAATAATAATAAGAATAATAATAATAATAATCCTTCTCTTTCACGTTGTCGTGTCTTCGACACGCGTGCACACTATTGTCAGTTGAAAGAAGAAAAAAAAAAGAAAAGAAAAGCGAAACAAAATGACGGCAGAGAGAGTCAACGTGAAGCCACCGTCTTTGATATTCCGAATCGAAGATCTTCGAAGGCAAAGTCGTGTTAGTGTTTGCTATTAAAGTCCTCGAGTTTAAGCGAGCTTGTTTGTAAATGGTTCTTACGCCGCTTGACGCAGAATTGAAAATAAATAGTAGAAGCTTAACAAAAGACAAATAAATAGATAGATAGACAGATAGATATATAGGTAAGTTAGTAGAAAGAAGGGAGAGAGGGAGAGGGAGAAAGAGAGAAAATGAGAGTATAAGAGAGAAGTGAAGCCTGGGGAACCGGACTAATACGTTTAGTAGTAGTAGTGGTAGTAAAAACTCATGAATTGTAATAGTAGTAGTAGTCGTTGTTGTTTAGTTTTTCGATTTCAAATATGGTGCATATGTTTCCAGGGCTGTTTGGTTTCTTCTCTCATCGATGTTAGCCATTCTCTCTTCGATACTAAGTGGTAGTCAAAATAGTCATAATTAAAGTTGTTAAAATTGTTACTGGAGTAGTAGTCGTACTCGATGGGGTATGTTTTGTTTTGTTAGTGTTGCAATTAATTGTTGATGCTTATGATTGTTGTTACATTGGACGCTGTTGTTCTGATCGCTTATATCCGTCGGTGATATTCATTCAGAGCGAACACACGCCGCCGCCTCCACCGCCGCCTCCTCCTCTACCACCACCGCACTGAACTGTCTTTGTTCCCCTCCTCCTTCTAGTTCTTCTTTTCTTCCTCCTCCTCTTCCTCTTCGTCGTCGTCGTCGTCGTTTTGATGCTGCTATAACAACCACCCCGTTACGACCAGCATTTTCACTTCAGTATAGGCATGAAGGAATTATTCCTCTTCTGGTGGGAGCTACCAATCTTGAACGATCTCCCTGGTTTTCATGATTCTATATTCTCCGTTAATTCTAAATTCTTCCTTTTTTTTCTGTATCTTCTTCTTTTTTTCTTTTCTTTTTTTTTTTTTTTGAGTTAAAATTATTACAACTTCTTTTCTTTTTTTTTTATTTGACGCTATCTCTCTCTTTTATCTTATCATTTTCTCTCTCTTCTTCCATTTCGCTTATCCGTTCACCTATCTTAATCAAACGTCTACCGTGTACATCTTGATCACCCACATCAAGCGAATGGTCTTTCTTCTGATTCTTCTCTCTGTAGCATGAATCTTACTCTTTCTTTTATCTTTCTTTTTGTTTGTTCCGCTCTAATTCTGCTTCTAGATTTCTCTTTCTTTCACTTGTTCCATACTCTCTTTCTGATTTCTCTCTTTCTCTCTCCCCCCCTCTTTTAATTCTTCTTCGGTCTTCCTTTCCCTTTTACAGATTTCTTTCATATCTAGCTTCAGATGAACACTTACATATCTATCTGTTCAGAGATAAGAATTCATTACTGCTTTGAAATCTGCCTCATGTTCATGCTTGATCGAACTTTTTATTTATTCATCAGAGAATGTATGTGTATAAACACACACACACACTCACTCACACACACATACATATACATGCATACATATATATATATATATATATATATATATATATATATATATATATATATATATATAGACCAAGTTTCTATTTATCTCAACTAGCTTTAAAATGTACGTCTGCATCTAGCACCCGTATTCACTCATGGTGCGTCTCTGTAATCTACTGATATCCTCACTAGGCAATAATCATTGACTATAAAGGTTAACTACAATCATTACATATTGTAATGTCCTCCTCTTTTACTGGCGAGGATTCGCTGCTTGCTTTTTTAGGAGATCGTTTGCTTTGCTGCCTCTCTATTTCACGCATATGAAGTGGCACGTGCGCGTCTTTTTTTTTTTAAATATGCATATCTGCCCGTCTGTCTGCTTGGTTGTCTGCTTTAGTCAGTTTATATATATATATATATATATATATATATATATATATATATATATATATATATGTCAATTTACAGATAACTATCTATCTACCTATCTATGTAAATATATGTCGTCCACTGTCTGTTTTTTCTACACAGAAAAACATTTTCTTTTTTTTTTTCTATCTTTTCTATCTATCTATCTATCTATCTATCTATCTATCTATCTATCTATGTAACTAACTAAATATATATGCAATTTCTCTTCCCTTTGTGTTTTTGTCTACACAAATCTCATTTATCTCTTTATATATATATATATATATATATATATATATATATATATATATATATATATATATATATTCTCGGACATTCAGGCCGGTTAATTATATTAATACTGTTTATCATAAAATAAGAGCATTTGTTTAAATACTTGTATCTATGAAATAACAACGTTAAACATAAAAATATATCTTTAATAAATATATATATATATATATATATATATATATATATATATATATATATATATATACACAGACAGACACACACACACATATATATATATATATATATATATATATATATATATATATATATATATATATATATATATATAATTCACTGTCTGAGTCTTTTTCTACGCACAGGAAATTTATTGCTTTCCATCTCTATACCTATATATCTAACCCTCTCTCCCTATCTATCATTCTCTTTTCTCCTCTGTCTCTATCTTTCTTTCTCTCTTTCTCTCCGTCCCTGTCTCTCTCTCTCTCTCTCTCTAACTATATATATATATATATATATATATATATATATATATATATAAATATATTTAAAATTATTTTGCTCTTACATTCCAACTCAATTAAGAATTACTAGGATTTTTTATTCTATATATTATTATAAAAAAATGAAAAACCTCTCAATAATCTCTCTCTTAATGAAAATATATATATATATATATATATATATATATATATATATAAATATATATATATTATATAAAGATATTATATATATATATATATATATATATATATATATATATATATATATATATATATATATATATATATATATACATTTTTTTTTTTTAAAACTTAGAATTGCTTATTTTAAAGAGACAAGTCAAAAGAAAGCGTTTTATTTGAAACCCAAGGAACATATTAAATTATTTTAATCTTTTATTTTTACTTCGTCAACAAATAAATAAATAATAATTTCTGTTTTGAAAAGTATTTTGGAGATAATAAGTGTTTACTTTATCTTTGTAGATATTCAAAAAAATAATAAATACACCCAACAAAAATAACTAAACGTCCAATTCCTTGAACCAAAATAGTCCCTATTATTTGAAAACGGTCAAATACCATCATTGACTATTTGTATTCCGTGTTCTAAAACTTAAAAGATATTATCGTAAAATGTAAATATATTAATATATAATATATATATATATATATATATATATATATATATATATATATATATATACAAGACAGTATATCAAACTAAAAGTATGAATTGAATGACAAAATGAAAAGAACAACAAAAAATATTATACGTTGCGCGTTTCGTGTTTTTGAAAAGATTTATTCAGACAAATAATGATATTTCTACGTAAAGAGTAGATGCAATATACAGCTCCCGGTTACGAATTTTGTTTTTGTTTTTTCTTTCATTTTGTCAATAATCATATATATTGTCATTTTGTTCAAACAAACCTGTATTAAAGAGGGATTGCTGCTGAAATATGCAGCCACACACACAAGCACACATGCACAGATAGATAGATAGATAGATAGATAGATAGATAGATAGATAGATAGATAGATAGATAGATAGATAGTGATAGAGGCATAGTGATAGTAATAGGCCGATATAAATAGATAGGAACAGAGACAGATATATAGTAATTAGATGAGATAGATAGATAGATAGATAGATAGTAATAGAGACATATAGATAGTAATAGGCCGAGATAGATAGAAACAGAGACAGATATATAGTAATTAGCTGAGATAGATAGATAGATAGATAGATAGATAGATAGATAGATAGATAGATAGATAGATAGCAATGGAGCAGATTTTCTCCAGTTGCTCTCGTCGTCGCACGGCTGAACGCATTAATACTGTAATTGGCCCTCAGCTCCTCATTGCAACTTACAATCTCGATTTGATGCCGTTGGTGTGGGTGGTTGTCGCTTAGTCTCTGTCTGCGAGTTGGAGTCCAAAAGAGAGAACTATTACTTACCCGAATCAAGGACCCAGTGACACTTATAGCAGAAGAGATGAAGAAAGGAATATAGAAATCTACTATAAGGCTCGGACTCGCCAGGAAATATCGTCTGTTTGTCTATACATCTCACTCACAAGTACACATGATCGAAGTTTATGTATGTGTTGCCTTGCCATTACTACAGCCGATAATGTACATATACTACTGCTGCTGCCGATAATTTCATAGGGCAGGGACCGTGGCTCGTCTTGTGGAGATTGTAGTTGTGTGCTTGGCTAGTTCGGGTTCGAAACATATTATTATAGCAAGTATTGTTCGTTCTTGTCAATTGTGTTCAGTGACATGTACGTAGACGCGTGGTAAATTATCAAAGCAAAACGCATATCTAATAATGGTTACAGATTTATATAATAGATCTTTTATTAAGCAGTTGAAGAATTTTGCTAAGAAGTGGTCACTTAGTAAGTGCTGTGTCATTCGTTGCTTATTTTATTGATAATATATCTTCTCCTTTTATATATATATATATATATATATATATATATATATATATATATATATATATATATATATATATATATGTATATATATATAGTAAAGGCAATAAATCCGTTGGTATATCATCCAAGGGATCCTAATAATATCAAATATTAAAACTGATCCACAAAAAGAGCTCAACGTTGACCTTATTCAACCCCGAAAGATGTAATACTTCGCGTACTTCGCGTTGGCTGATATATATATATATATATATATATATATATATATATATATATATATGACCTTGCTGACCTTACTGACCCAATAAATGTGATGGCCATTATTCAATCAACTGGAGTTTGTGATCAAGTTCAGAAAATATTTGCATTTACAATTTTAACAGTTTTATACCAATAATCAATATCGGATTTTTCTAATCCTATGATTAATACCGGATTTTCTTTTAGTAATCCTATACTTAATAACGGTATTCTTAAGAAACCTTAATACTGAATTTTAATTTTAATCTTTATAATTAATAACGGATTTTACATTGGTCAGTAATGGATTAAAACTGTAACACATTTATCCATTGGACGTTTGCATTATCCCCTCTTGACATGTGATTTGCCTCATTATTTGAACACTTGTTAAAAATGATAGACAAGTAACATAATTTTCCAATACAACACACTCAGTCCATGTACTTACGTGAATACACGGACAGATATCTATCTATCTATCTATCTATCTATCTATCTAAATTTGTTCGCTATCTACCTGTCTTAGTTTGTTCACTATCTATCTATCTATCTATCTATCTATCTATCTATCTATCTATCTAAATAATAATAATAAAAATAATAATAATAATAATAAAAATAATACAAAACATTGTACTTACAAATACAGACCACACCTTACAAAGGACTTTATCTATGGAAAATATGTGTGATTTTGATTTTCAAATCTGCTCCGTGAAAAATGTCCTGATGCCATTTCTGACCTTAAATGAGTATAGATCAGAAACCAAAAGAAATAAAATAATAATATTTTTTTTATTATATAACTATATAATTCATTTAATATTAGTTCAGGATAGAAAACTTTAGCAAAAATAAATTAGCTCGGGACAATCATTTTGTTTATCAATAATAATAATAATAATAATAATAACAACACGGAGTGGGTTAATGTCTGCAATATAAAATCTGTAACATTTACTGGAAAGAAACACCAATTGGTATGAACACCACTCAGAGCAGGTTACAGACATAGGATCTGTAATAATTTGATGGGATTTTACAATACACAAACAGAACAGTCACATCTAATCGTTTAGGCATAGTGATCAAAGACTACAAAAACAGAATGTGTTTTCTTATTGACATGGCAGTTCCTGTAAATTATCTTTGAAGATCATCAAAGAACTATCAAAATACAAGGATCTTGAAGTGGAAATCTAAAAAAAATGCAGCCAATAAAGACACCAATAATTCCACTTGTGGCTGGATCTCTGGATTTAATTGGTAAAGGTTTCGATAGACTCATTGAAAGAATTCCTGGTAGCCGCTGGCTTAATGTAATACAAGAAATGGTACTCAAAAGTACAGCTCCCAAATTACGAAGAGCGTAATTCATGTAAAATGTGTGTGACTTTATGCTGTTTATTTTCTAAAAATGTTCAGTGAAAAATATCATCATGCCATTTCTGACCTTAGGACCCGGAAGGAAATAGTTTTACGACATAAATTAAAGGAAATAATAATTACAATAATAATAATAATAATAATAACGATGATGATGACAATCTACTGACTGACATACGGAATATGATGGAATTTGGAGCATGTCAAAGGTTAGCAGAATTTTATCCACGACAGTGTCCATTAGATATAATTATTATTATCAATAGACAAAAATTCACGACACTTATCCCAACCGACTAACAGTTTCACGATGTTAATGCAAAACCGATTTTCCAGAAAAAAAAACGAGAAAGATTTTATAAAGCTCAACCGAAAGCAGTAGTAATTGCTTGGTCAATGAATGTCAAATGTTTCCTTATTGGGAAACGGCTATTATTAACATTTTCATTATTATTCATATTATGACATGCAAAAGCGTTAACATCTTGAAACTTTTAGTCGTTTGGATACATATTGTGTCCTTTTTTTATTTAAATAGTAAGAACGTAAAAGATTATTTATAAAATAAAGGCGTTCTCAATATCCAGTTAGTTTTTCGTAAATATAGATAATGAATGGAGAGTAGGAATCAACACAGCATCATAATTGTCTTTGCCATGCCTCAAGAGATATTCAAAGTACACCTATCTATCTCTATCTATCTATCTATCTATCTATCTATCTATCTATCTATCTATTGCAGTCTGTTCACTATCCATCTATCTATCTATCTATTACATCTATCTATCTATCTATCGTTTCTATCTATATATTGCAGTCTGTTTCATATCTATCTATCTATCTATCTATCTATCTATCTATCTATCTATCATATCTATCTATTGCAGTCTATCTTCCCTATATCTATCTATCTATCTATCTATCTATCTATCTATCTATCTATCTGTTCATCTATTGCAGTCTGTTATCTATCTATTCATCTATTCATCTATCTATCTATTCTATCTATTAGAGTCATCTATCTATCTAAGAGAGATCTATCTATCTATCTATCTATCTATCTATTCATTCATTCATCTATCTGGTTTACGGCCATATTACGTTGAAACACCGGTTCCCGTGAAATTACAAACGTAGACTTGTTTTACCTAAATGCGTGGACGTTTTCGAATACCAGCTATTTATTGTATTTCGAAGATTTTTTATTAATGGATGACAGCTAACGACCAAAATTAGAGAGCCGAGTTCCAATACTACTCGAGTTCGTTATATTCATTCTTCAAATTTAGTGGCCTTCAAAATGAATCAACTTATTTTCCCCCAGCTATGGATTAAATTAATAGGACTTTTTTATCAGTAAATCATTATTATCTCCAGGATATTCTTACACACTAAAAAATTTTCTTTTTAAAAAAGTTCCGAAAGTTTGATAAAACGTAAAACAAATTTTTACACAAACACTCGCACGTATATATTTATATATATATATATATATATATATATAATAGTGAACGCTGTTTATTTATGGCGACAAAAGGCTGCTAAACGCAATCATCACGTCTGAAGATTGTTAAATGGAATGTCGCCTCTTTATTGTTAGAATTCACTTTATATTTATATACGCTCTATCTCTGATATTGAGCAAATTTCCCATAAATCTAAAACACCTTGAACTATTTTTCTTTTATATATATATATATATATATATATATTCGAGATAGATAGATAGATATGAATAGATAGATAGATAGATAGATAAAGAGAAAAGTGAGAATATTAAAAAAATGCAGTGGAATTTTGGCCCGTTTAATAATACAAATCAGCTTTTTCAGATTCAAGTCTGTTATAGAATATTTTGAATCTTCAACAAATATTTAACTAATAATTTTTAGCTGATATTATTAACCTTATCAAATAAGGTAGAGTGTAAAAATGAAACTGATTTTATTGGTTCCTTTTTCCTATTTTATATTTTCGTTCTTTTTTGATGGATAAGAAATCGGGTCTTCTTATCTAGGGCCAGGTATTTATTTAATATATCAATGATATTTCATTAACATGGAGATTACATTCTTTATTTAACAAAATCTGTCAAATCTTTTCACGAGTCCGCGGTCGTTTTCTAGATTTAAAAAAATTTAGGCATCATTTGTCATATTTTATTAAACAGTCTTCACGTTTGTTCATTAAAAGCCAGTTGTTATTATTAAAATTATAAATATTACCTGTAGAAATAATAAGTTTTTTTTAAGGAGACACTTTTAAATGAAAGCTAAATTTTTTAAAGTTGTGGGTATTATTTCTCCCGATGTTAAAATATTTCCTTGGTTTCTGTTGGTACCGTTTATTTTGGTTTCTTACGAAAGTACAACAGCAAAGATATTAAATATCAAATGTTTTTCTGCAATAGAAAAAAGACATTCCAAATGCTGCAATTGATCGGAGGGGGGTATGCTTCTTCAGCTTTACAGTGTTGACAATCATCTCACGCCAGTCTTATTTTAAGCAAACTCATTCATACCTGCATATTTTTAATTACGTGAATGAATGCAAAGGCGCAACAAAACCGATATTTTTGGAACGTGTAATTTGGAATGCATAAAAACTTTGTATTATTTTTTTTGTTGTTTTAAAAGTTTTAATTAAAAAAATAACTCATGATGGATAAATTTAAACCAAACAAATTAGAAACAAATAAATACGGCCTCCTTTTTTCTACATGCCGTATCCATTCAAGACGTGAACGACCACGGTTTTTTAAGATAATTCCCCTATCCCTTGTAATTACATCTCTGTAAGTTTACCATTTGTCCATGCTTAGAATATTTCAAAACATATAGTCTGGTGCCTCTTGCTATTCAGTTCCTTTGATAAAATCCAAAGAAGAATGAATGTATTATATAATATTGGTGCTGAAATTTTTCCATTATTTTTTCACCACCATAAGGCTGCTTCTCTGTGGTTTTTCTATAAATACATTCATGGTAATTTTTTGG